GCGCTCCCGCACGGGCCGGCACCCGCGGGGCCGCGGCGGCGCCTCCGCCCTTATGTAACAGCGGTGACGTCACGGGGGCACGRCGGCTCGCTATTGGCTGTCAGCTCCGCGCCCCGCCCCGCCCCTCTCCCGCCCCGCCCCGCCCCGGTGGGGCCGCCGGGCTGGGATTGCGGCGTCCGTGGAATCCCGGCGGGATAATCCCATMGGGATGGGGCACGGGGGCACAGCCGGGCCTGTGCGCCCATCTGCCTGCTCCAGCGGGGTCAGCCCGGGACACACGGCACACGATTGCGGGTCTGGTATATCCCTGGTGAGGGAGACTTCACMCCCTCTCTGGGCARCCTGTTCCAGTGTTCGGTCACTGCACAGGAAAGTTCTTCCTCATGTTCAAGTGCAGAATCCGTTTCTACCCTTTGCCTCTTGTCTTGTTGCTTGACAGCACCGAGCAGARCCTGGCTCCATCCTATTGACACCCTCCCTTCAGCTACTGATCGGTGAGATCCTGTCTCAGGCTTCTCCAGATCAAACAGGTCCAGCTCCCACAGGCTGTCCCCATAAAGAGATACACCAGTCCCCTGAAATGCCTTCATTCCCTCTAATCTAGCACCAGAGAAGCTGCTCCTGACACAGAGGGCAGGCACCTTGGTTTTATGATGCTGACTGGTGAGTTAAGTGTATTATCTGGAGAGATTTACACGCTGTGCCTGGCAAGACCCAACGTGGCAGCAGAGGATTTAAGGAACAAGATAGAGCAGGCTCAATACCCCACCCCCACCGGCTCTTCCACACTTCCCTTTCCCTGACAGTCTCACACTTGACCTTTGACTGCATTTGGTTGTTGTGGAAAGAATTTTCTCAAAAATAATTTCTGGATTTTGTGACACACAAAATTGACCCTCTAAGATACATTTTCCGTCCCTTGCATTAGGTATCTTTAAAGGATAATGCTTTGTGAGCAAGTTCTCTTAACTGCTCATACAAATATGTACAAACATATTATTTCCATACTGTTGCCACAGAACACAGAGATGACCAGTCATACTACACTGATACATACTCCATCACATGTTAGTGGAAAACAAACAACTCCACAAATATAATTCTGAGAGASAATTTTTCACTGTCAAACTCCTAAAGGCTGAATATGAAATACCAGAGTTATGTATTTCAGAAGTCCTCTGTTTTGTATGTAAGGAAGTATTTTTTAATTAAGGAGGTATTTTTCTTTTGGTGTATTAGTTTGCACATTATTCACAAAATGCTTTAATTGATATACAATAAAMATGATGATTGAACTATATATTTAAAGTATACATAAATCTAATGTATCTGTAAATACACACSTTAGCTATGTATTTTCACCTAATAAAACCAGAATCCATCTTCTTCCATGTGTCAGCATTTCCCTTCTCAAGGAAGTGAACAAAGACAGTTTGCTTTTAGAGCTGTGATACTGAAGAATGTTAAACCCAATGTAATTTGTATTATAAATTTTCACAAGGCACTCCTGACGCTCACGCTCAAGGAAGAACATGGAGGGTAGGTTTGGCATGCATTCCCCCGTCCTACAGCCCTGGTCCCCGCTTCCAATTAAGATCTCTAGAACACTTTTCCTACATCAGGAACACTTTTCCTACATCAGGAACACTTTTCCTACATCATCACTTTCCCTGATGTAGGAAACAGCAGGGCATGCTCTTCAGAGAGAGTGTGTATGAGATCATAAACATTTTCTCTTGTAAATAAATGTATATCCTCAGCTAACAGAGTGGTTGTTATGTGGGAGCTCCTACCCCTGCAAGTTTATCTCCTTTAAATACCTGCTCTGCTGTACTTCACCCTCTCCTGCTCCCACCTTTGCARCTTGTGGCTGGCCAGAAGAGGATGCCTGTGAACACCCTGAATGCAGTTGGCAACCACAGCTGTGCCAAGTGGAGCCTTCCAGGATGAGAAAGCTTTGCAGTGCAGGGGTGGCCACTGCCCAGAGGTCGGTACATTCCCAGGGATATTGYTGTGCCTTTTGGGAGGGAAACTGTAAACACTTCAGTCTAGAAACGAAACTATTAAGGCTGACTACTGATGCACTACTGTTGGTGTCCTTGCCTGGCCCCATCCTGCATTTCCCATCTTCCAAAGGACGTAAAGAGGGAGTGTTATGAGTACATATTGTAGTTTTGGCTTTCACAGATGTTAAGATGGGTGCTGTGTGAACATTGTTTCTTTTTCAGTATAAGTAATCTAATTATACAGACATAGTAGTGAAATAATCACTAGTGTTTTTGTTTTTATTTTGTAATTCAAATATAGTTGCAATATAGCTGATGTTGTTGTTTTAGAAGACTTATAGTTAACTTGCAATAACTGAAGTGTTACAGCTTGTGACTTGAACATTTCCGTAAAAGACTTCTATCATATTATAACAAAACTATACAGAAGCTGCAAGGAAAGTCATCAAAAAACCCCCAAAAAACCTAAATGAGGCCCTGGTGGCACCACTGTTGAAAAGATAAGAAACAACTCAGAGCCAGGGAAAAGGCTACATGCATTCACAAAGAGATCACAAAGCTTAGTACTTTCAAGTGGGGGTGGAAGGAAGATCACTCCAAAGCTATCAGATGTGAGGTCAGCACAGATCCTGACAGCAAWSGGTGGGGGTGGAAGGAAGAGGAGCTTTAGGATATGTAGTGGAGAAATTCTCTAGTCAGGGGTTGTGAAACAGCCGTCTTCTGCTGCGCAAAGGAGCCCAGCTGATGGGACCCCCAATCTCAGACAATCTCATCTACACAGAGCATCCAAGGGTGTCATGGCCCATCAAGGAACCCTGCTACGGATACTTCAATTTATCAACCCCTTCCATCTGCTGAAACCACGGAACAAGGGATCCACAAACACCAAAATTACACATACTCTAAAAAGGTGGATCAGAAGAAGTGCCATGCTAAACAGTTGTTAAAAAAAGTTTGAATATGCATAAATGCCTATGAATAGGCATTAAACTGATGCAATACAAAATATATTTACAGATGTCTCTTGTCRATAGCAGGTGTGCCTTTGGTAAATCACCAAACACCTGGTGTCCCCTCAGGCACCGTATCCTTTTGCTTTCTGTCCCCTATTGTCATTTATTAAACTTCTAAATTTTAACAAGAGATTGWACTTTGTTTTTCACAAGTCTGAAGAGGAACAGTAGGATGTGCTCTGAATGGGAGAAGGAACCTAATACATCTACCATGAGAGCAAGTCTTAGCAGTCCTCTGCCATCAGATCAGCTAGAAAAGWGGGGGACTACAGCTGAAGCAGGAAGAGTCTCAAATCCTCTCCCTTCACAGCCCCCCAAAAAACTCTGACCATTTGCCRTCACTTTTTAATAGTACTGGAGAATGCAACAGCATTGGGGTACCTCTGTGCTACTGCAGTGCACAGACTTTCTCCCGTGTTCACAGGCACTTTCAGGCCCTCCAGGCTATGAAATGCAGGATGAGCACACCCTGGCTCTTGTGGTTAGGGTGGTGTCTAGATCTCCAACCTGCAAAGGACATTCAGACTGTGTGGAACACCACCAGCTTGCAGCTGGAATGCTGGGAGAACGAGGACATGCATCCATTCAGCACTGGGGAAATGTGAGCATCACATGTGATGCACAGAAACTTGCCAGCAGTAATCCCTAGAAAAATTTCTTATGGTCCAAAAATCCTTCGTGTTCTTTTCTAAGAAAAAAAGAGCATTAAATTACCTGTTCCCTSCACCAAAACCTCAACCTCTTTCCATTTCCACAAGACTCTGTAATTTTCTCCTGTACTCAAACCCTGCAATGATGATCATTAATTGAGATAGCCAAAGGGAACAAATGCCATTAATAGCACTATTTTATTTTCCACAGACTAAACCCACAAATTATGTGGGGTCTTGCCACTTGTGATCATTCAAATGCTCCACTTCAAGCAAGTGTTTAAGTGGCTGCAAAAATGAATGCCTAAGCAGGCAGGGAAATACATCATGTTGTCAACATTTTTTAATTCCATATTAAGGTCAGTGGGTTGTTGTATTTTTCCATGTTGCTGGAGCATTCACATATGCATCACATCCAGGGGTGAGGATAGCCTGATTAAAACTTTACTATCAATTTTCCCCACAGATAATATAGCCATATTTATGCCTTATGCGGATTTACTCAGCTATTCCCTTTTGCCCGGGTGCAGAACACAAACCAGTGTCACAGACAGCCCAGACAATCTAGCAGCTCAAATCCCATTCCCACCCTCCTAACCCTCCTGTTTCAAATGCAGAGTAAAAGGATTAGCTGTGCAGATCAGGCTGATGCTATTTAAGCACCAAGAGGCGTGTGGTTTTTACTGTTAGCTATTCCAAACACAAATGTGGTTTATTTCAATTTTAACACGTGGGCTGCCGTATACAGAATATAAATCCAGAACAATAAACTTCTAAAAGAGCTTTACAGCGTTTGAAAAGAAGCTGATAATATCAGGTGCTATACAGAGAGCTTAGCCTCTTTCTTCTTACCACATTGAATACCCTGATAACACGCCCCATGCTTAAACAGGGTACATTGACACTGTTAGAAAGCTTTCTGTTAATGTTTTCAAAATCCTCCTTTTCAGCCCAAAGTCTACTGTGCCATGTAAATTCCAAATCCTTACATGCAATTTATCAGCAGGCAATAGATCAAATAAGT